GGGAGGATTTTAGCATGGTTAGGAACTGACATAAAGTCAACTTGCCAACGACAACCACCCAGTGTTGTGGAGAAGAATGGTGGCTGTCTTAGCAGGTAGATATCTTCCTCTTACACAGTGTCATCATTATGTAAAAAAAATAATAATGGGCGAAATGCGAAGTGACCATTAACTATGTTCAAGTGACTGTTTTATTCAGGTGGCCTTTAAAGCAATACAGTGCTGTTATAACTTTAAAAAAATAAATAACAAGGGAAGAAATCATAGGAAATGACAGTTTGTACAAGTGATTGTTTTATACAGGTGGTCTTTAGGGTAAGTTTATCTAAAACACCGTAAATACTATCATTTAAATTTAAGCTGTTGAAAACTAAAATGCCCACTTCAAAACAGAGGAAGGGGGTTGGAAGGCATTCTGGGTGCTTCATTGTGACCATCAACAATGACGTATTGGTGAGGTATTGCAATTTATTTTTGTGACATTGATGAATTATTGTATGCTGTATTGTACTTTCTTTCCTACCTCATTGTTTTAGTAATTGCCCAACAATTAGGTCATTATATAAGTGCCGAAGATTAGAGGTGTTACAAGAAAGTAACACACATAAAAAGAAGTAGGAGAGATAAAGACAATAGTTGTTTGATAGGAAAGAAAGAGCAACAAACCACACAATAGCACCCGCCAACCACTCACTTTTGTAACTCAAATATCTGCCCAACCTGCGTCCGTGCTTTAATGTTTAATTCCCTCGAGGTAAGAGTCTTGGCAAGTATCTTGGTGTATTTATTTGGGATGTTTTATCTCCCTCAGCCCGTTTCTTTTTTCCATTGGTTTTTTTTTTTCGGAATAAATAATCTGCAGTTGGCTAGCTGGGGAGAAACACTAACCACTCACCACATCCCCCTGACCCAAGCTCTCCGGCGGGCGACAGAGAGATGTATCTTTCTTCCCGCGACACCCAAAAGGGTATAAGCGGTGGGTAAATGTAAAAGTAAAAGTAAAGTATCTCTCTCTGCCCGGGTTGGCCCTTACAGTACTGAGAGGCTGAGTTGAAGCCTGCCTCCAAATAAAAGATGTAAATTGTGTTGAGGGGGTTGTATAAACACCCACATTATTTTCCCTAAAGGGGAATCAATAATGATGGTGTCTTATTTTACATGTGAACTTACGTGAGTTCTTTGAGCTGCTCTGCTGTGTAGCATGTGCTGGCTGAAAGAAACCAAACAACACTAACAGATGTCACCCACGCATGCAAAAAGTTATCCCTTGCACTTCTTATTATTATTACACACACTCTCACCCTATCTCTGTGTGTCTTTTAGTTAGTATTAGTAGAGGTTTTACAGCGCTCACAACAGCATAAGGTCATATGAGCGCAAGAAGATTAGAGGTGTTACAAGAGTAACAAACATAAAAAAGAAGGGGAGATCAGGACGATAGACGTTTGATAGGAAAGAAGAAGCAAACCACACCAGAGCACCCGCCAACCATCCACTCTGTGTGTCTGAGTGTATGTGTGTGAGTGTGTGTGTGTGTGTGTGTGTGTGTGTGTGTGTGTGTGTGTGTGTGTGTATGTATGTGTGTGTGTGCGTGTGTGTGTAGGTTTGTCTGTATGAATGTCTCTTTCTCTCTCTCTCCCTCTCTCTCTCTCTCTCTCTCTCTCTCTCT